TAACCAACAAAGATTGTTACTTTTTGTGTGTAAACTTTCTCATGAGTTTTTACAATAGAGGTCTCATACAATACTTGTCCTTTTGTGATTGACGTATTTCACTCAGCATAATGTCCTCCAGTTTCATCCATGTTATGACATGCTTCACAGATTCATACATTTTCTATGTTCTTCTTACTCTGCTGTGCTGAATTCCTTTTGTTTGTGGATTTTTTTTTCATTTCTGTTGTTTCTATAGGTTTTGTTTTTATTGAGACTTTATGTTTTTCCTTTTTATTTTTATGAGCAGGTTTGTTAACTTTCTTTGTGGTTACCGAGAAATTTACCCTTATCTTTCTAAGTTTGAAGCAGTCTACCATTACTTGGTATCGCCTTGCCTTCCTCTCCACTAGAAGGTTCTATACCTACACCATTTATTTCCTCTTTTATTGTTCTGATGTTGTTGTCATTTACTGATTAACTGCTCTGATTCCCTGTTGTATGTCTTTTGGTTTTGGATAGTCCTTGAGAGTTCATTTCCTAGATTGTTATCTGGCTGGTACGATCCTGTGTCCTAGATTCAGCCTGTGAGCTGAAGTTGTTTGTTCACAGATTGAAGGACTCCCTTTAATAATTCTTGTAAGTTTGGTTTGGTTTTTACTTATTCCCTTAATTTCTGTTTATCTGGAAATGCCCTAATTTCACCATCATATTTGAACGAGAGTTTTGCAAGATATATTATTCTTGGCTGGCAATTTTTTTCTTTCAAGATTTTATATATGTCATCCCATTCCTTCTTGCCTGCATGATTTCTGCTGAATAATCTGAACTTAGTGTTTCTCCTCTGTATGTGACTTCTTGTTTTTCACAAGCTGCTCTCAGGATTCTTTGTTTGTCTTTGATTTTGGTGAGGGTGATTATGATATGCCTTGGTGATTTTCTTTTGGGGTCTATCCTATATGGGGTTCGTTGAGCTTCTTGGCTGGCCAGCTTTTCATCTTTCATGATATTGAGGAAGTTTTCTGTCAGCCGTTCTTCAATGATCCTCTCTGTGTTTTCTGTTTTCTCCCCGTTCTGGGACTCCAATCACTCGCAAATTTTTGCTTGTCATTGTATCCCACATAATTCTCAGGGTCTTTCATTTTTCTTTGTTCTTTTTTCTGAGTTTTCCTCAAACAGAGTTGTATCCACGCGTTTGTATTCAATTCCGCTGGTCCTGTCTTCCACCGTTGCAAATCTACTCCTCAACCCTTCTACGACACTGTCCATTTCTGAAATCTTGTTGTTTATCTTTTGGATTTCTAATTGTTGTTTTTGTATAATTTC